TGCAAGTTGCGCACGTTAAAGATCCCTTGAAGGTCTAAAATCGATAAGAGTAGGCTTCGGCCGCCACCCGGGCAAAATTCAAAATTTCCTACCAACTGAAAATATTAGGAGTGTCCCGCGCGCTCATATGACCTGTGCAGTTGCGAGCGCCGTAAAACACTTTACAAAAACAAAAAAACAAAACCTGTCAGTAACACCATTCAGTCAGCTATCTACATGTAAGAAAGTTGGAACCCCAAGTATTATACACAAATTGCTTCTACCATGCACAGTGAATAGCACAACAACGGTCGATTTAACCAGAAAAACAGATAGTGTGACGATGAGAACACGGGAAATTACAATAAAAAAAGACCAAATCCTCACTCAAGCCATGAAACAAAAGTCTTTGTTTGCGCGTGGGATCGCGCGATTCGCACAGAATCACTCACAGGCAAAACGGGAAAGACAGTAAACACAAGCAGAATGCCTCTGCCATATCAATAACGAGAAGACACAACGGGCCAGGGGACCTTCAAAGCGCGTCAATGTGACAAGATTCTTCTAAAAAGGAAAGAGGAGCTGACACTCAAAATGCAGCAGTGCTAGAAATCGCAGGTCAGATGAAAAAGACATAGATCTAGACCAAAAAAATAATAATAATAAATCCGGACGGTTTCTCGACCATCTGCGTACAACAGGCGAAGTGGTACTTGGCCGTCTTAGTAATCTAAGGCTCATGAACCTAAAAAAAGACAGAGACGACCGACATTCGTGTCATGATAAACAAATTGCGTACACATTATAACAGAATAGCCAGAATGCCACCTTTCCGCTTACCCGGACAATTGTTGTCCTATAGTCATAATGTGGACAGAGCAGACACATTGAATGTGAATTTTCATACACGAGTACACGACGCAAGAACCAGGTTCACACTAACACTTTCAAATCGTATTATTTTACGTGTGTGCAAGTAGGGCCTACTCGATTGCCCTAGATAGAGGGCTCTTTAGGATCGCGAACAATAGCAAAGGGACAGCTGGATGCCACCCAGTACCCACCCACACCTCCACTAGACCCTCATCGAGTCTTTACACACCCCTCCTCCAATAGCTCCAACTTAAACTGCGCTCGAAGGACAGGGGAAATTAAATTGCTTTTATCACAACCCATGGCTCGGGTGGGAGAAGATCACACGATCAGTGCTGTTCGCAATAAAGGTGATAAGTTGGCATTATGGGACAACAACTGACACAGAACGAGACTGTTAATCAATTAAACCAAGTAAGTCTGTCCAACCTCCAAAAGGACACTCTGGTCTCCACAGCTTTTATAAGCATTGTTTTACGCATAGGTAGGCTACATGTAGTAAACTGAAGCTTCGTTGATTTTTCGAATTTATCTTTCTCTTTACGAACATAAAACTCGTGTAAAGAAAAGAAAGAAGTTCTCCTCATTTTAAGAAACAAAGACGTGCCCAGAATTATAGTCCAAGTTACTAAAGACAAAACTGGATCTATCTCGTCCCGTCAATATAACTTTTCTTTTAAAAAATCGTGAAGAAACTTCTTAAGGTGTCGGTCCAACTGACGGTCTAGCGCAATAATGTGTTATAACGTAAGTCCCAAAAACTGATTACGGTCTACATGAAGGTCTACAGCGTTAAAGCTTTCTACCCTGAAGCCTCTGGGGGATAATTTTATAACATCACTCCTACTTCAAGAAATCAGTGGGGCGAGGGAACGACCCCCCCCCCCCAATTTCTACCTGACCTCAAAATTAAAACTACCAAAACGTATAAATAAGATAATGACACTCCTGAGCGGAAGTGTTTATAGTACTGTGGATTGTCGTAGACCGTAGACCGTCCAGTGGAACAGGTGTCAGGCTTGTTCAGTGGTAGACCATCAAGTAGAACAAAAACAATCTCAGCTGTAGATCGTCAAGTGGATCGGCACTTTAAAAAACCCCAAAAAACTTTCATTGAACGGGAAAAAGGTTGGGATCCCCTTCCCAGTGCGCTGTTAAAGTAAGAAGGCTAAAATAATACGAAACCCAGTACATGTATTTGGCGTTCAATAATCGGAGTTCAATGCTGACAACGAGTTTCATCAGAAGTTTATGCGCAACAAAGCGTGCTCACCATTTCCTTTTAATAAACGTCTACAAAAAAGCGCACCACACACTGTTACCAAACTGAGTGAAAGCAGTACACACAAGCATACTTATAATAATATTCTTCAAAGGTTTTTTTTTACACGCCATATCTCGAATAAAGTAAAAGACCTATCAATATAATACGCGATCACGCACTCACGCACGCAGGCAGGCACACGCACGCACGCACACACACACACACACACACACACACACG